CAGTATTTCTATATGCACTCTATCTACACAACCTAAGTCATACTTTAGTACCACCCTGGGACTATACAGCATTAACTTATCCCGAAAATCTAGTTATGGTTACAAGTAGCACATGCAACAACAGAAAAACCAGTATTCCTATATGTACCATATCTATACAACCTAAGTCCTACTTTAGTACCCCTCTGGGACTACACAGAATTAACCTGCCCCAGTAATTTAGTTATATTGCATATCAAATGTGAAAGCCCTCCGAAGTCACTCCATGAGTACAAATGTTCTCACTCGTCACCAATATCGGTGACCGACACTCAACCTTCTATCTCTCGACCCCTAACAGGCCATACACACACACACATACCATTCTCTCCTGTCACCAATATCGGTAGCCCAACCCCTTGTCTGTCGGGGTCTCCCGACTATCACCACTATCGGCGATCAACTTATTCTTTCTAGGTAGCGACCACCAATATTGATGTCCCCCAATGCTACCAACTCAAGAACCATACCATCCCGTATTCGCCTCACCATGTTGTCTTAAAGCTCTCCTATACCTTTAACCGGTATACCGAACCTACACACATTTCTCCATAGGACACACACTAACATTTCACACACACGCTGGTAATGTTCCCTCGCCAACCACTAAATTTACAGCAGCTATACCAACCTATATATAACCCACACCCTCACACCACATAACTATACCAACACACCTCTATCCCGATACCTTAAACCACGCCTTACCGGCCTCCCTTTTCTTCTCCCAAATTTTCAGCATATACACTCTCCTCCCCTTATATATCTACCTCTCCCTACAGCCATACCACACTTCTCCCCTTACACGAACCTCTTCGCACACCGAACTCCTCTTTCTCCCTCCTTCTGCAGCCTACTCTAAGGACCCCCATGCACAATCATGAACTCTCCTCTCTCTCACAGACCTCACACACCGTTTTCTTTCTTCTTCTACCTCTCAAGGCCTGTTCAAAGTATCACAACTCACACTCACACAATCACGAACTCTCATCTCTCTCACAGGACAC